TTCCCGGACTCCCCGGACTCCCCGGACTCCCCGGACTCCCCGGACTCCCCGGGCTCCCCCGGACTCCCCGGACTCCCCGGACTCCCCGGACTCCCCGGACTCCCCGGACTCCCCGGACTCCCCGGACTCCCCGGACTCCCCGGACTCCCCGGACTCCCCGGACTCCCCGGACTCCCCACCTCCCGGACCTCCCCAGACCTCCCCCGGACTCCCCGGGACTCCCTCAGGGGGGGATGCGTACATGACCTCCCCCGGACTCCCCCGGGACTCCCCGGACCTCCCCTGACCTTCCGGCACTTCCCCGGACTCTCCACCGGAAGGCGGATCCGAAGTTGGGACCCTCCCCGGCTTTCCCCCCGGAGGCAACCCACATCCCCCGGACTCCCCGGACTCCCCGGACTCCCCGGACTCCCTGGACTCCCCGGACTCCCCGGACTCCCCGGACTCCCCCGGATTCCCCGGACTCCCCGGACTCCCCGGACTCCCCGGACTCCCCGGACTCCCCGGACTCGACCCAGATGCGCACCGCTCTCCGAGGGGCTAGGCCGCAAAATTCCCCAGCGCGGCGAGGCGTTAGGCCGCAGGGGGGTTGCTTCGAGTTCGAGCAGGTTGGCATTGGTACAGCCCGCCGACTACATCGAGCTAGAGCTCTACGATGAGGACGACGAGGCTCCAGGCCCGTCGCCCGCCAGCGGCGTGACACAGGCGCAGCCCTGTGCGCCTGTCGCCGCCGCCGCCGCCCGATCGCCGTGCGTGAACCCCAGAGTGCCCGCGACCTTGGCACCTGGGAGTGGGCCCCCGCTGGGAAATGGGCCAGCGGGCGGCGGTGGAAGAGACTGATGGATAAACCACGGGCTCGCCATGTCGCGCTGGGGCCTCGGTGTCAGCGCGGGGTGGCGAGTCTAGTGGCGTGCCTAACCTAACCTAATCCTCCCTCCTCCCTCTTCCTCCTCCTCCTCCCTCTTCCCTCCCTCCTCCTCCCTCCTCCCCCCCTTCCTCACTCCTCCCCTCCCTCCTCCTCCTCACCTCATATCACCAAGCCCCCCCTTGCCCACCCGCCCCTTCGCCCCCCCTTTCACCTCCTTTCACCTCCCCTCCTCTCCTTCCTTCCCCCCCTTTTTTCCACATCCCTCTTATCCCTCCTCCCTCCTCCTTCCTCCTCCTCCTCCTCCTCCTCCTCCTCCTCCTTCCCTCCTCCTCCTCCTTCCGCTTTTTTTGTTTCCTCCGCCTCCAGCGAGCCCTCCAGCCTTCCTTCTTTCCTTCCTCCTCCTCCTCCTCCTCCTCCTCATTCCTCTCCTCCTCCGCCCCTACCGCCTCCCCCCTCCCCCCACTGGATGTTTAGTTCCTTGAATGCCGCAAAAACCATGGCTGAGCCCCCTTTTTAATAGTTACAGTCCACTGCTGTCTATCACTGTCTGCTGCTACCTTGCATGTGAAACTGACATAAGCTGATATTCTCAGTCTCATTCTACTTTCTAAGGGCTGTTGTAAAAAGTCCAAGGGAAAAGTCGCATCTAAAAAACACTGGTTTTCAGCTCCAGCTCGAGAGAGGAAGAGGAGATCAGGAAAGATGAGGATCTGATCGCGCCTGCAGCGCCATACTCACGTGTATCTGGTCGACCCAGTCGAACTTGATGATGCTCTCCAGGTCGCTCTCTGAATACGTATCTGGCCTGTGTCATATTCGTCTCGCCGTAGCATTCTTCTGAACCATTTCCATATCAAGATAGCCGGTCGTGAGCAACTTCATCATCTGCCTGAAGACTCCCGGCTTTGTCATAGCATCCGCGACCATGATCTCCGTCGGTACATGTAATGTCCACCTGATTCTGGTTGTAATCCTTTCTTCCCTCAAGGCCATGATGGGAAGGCGTTGTAACTTATCCTGAGGAACTCCTTTGAGTCCGGTCACCAGCTCGAATACGTCCTTGCAGTCCGTCCAGTGATCCAGGGGAATCTCATAAGCTCCGACCGTGTTGATGTCCATCATCTTGCGTATCCTGTCTTTCTGAGGTATGTGTTCGTCCATCTGCATTTCCGTGATCCGTAAAGCTATCATCTGGGCATTGCTCACCACGCTCAGCGCACAGTTGGTTTCGCCCATGGAGGTCGAGTGAGCCACCTTCTTCGCCTTGTTCGAGAGAATAGCCATCGGGTGACAATAACCACTGAGGCAACTCTTGTCCGTGACAATGTCTGTCTTGGGGTCAACCAACATAGGAACATCACTCATGAGAAGAATAGCTTGTCCTTCTTGAGGGTACACACTCGTTTTCGTAGTATGATTAGCGTCGCCAATTGCCCGCAGGCAGAAAGGTCCTCGAAGCCGAGGGTAGTGAAGTCCAAGAAGTTGATTGTCATTCTGCGCCTTCTTCAATACTGCATTCGCTCGCTTGAGGTGCATAACTTTCGGCTCGTTGTTGAAACCCTGCAGTTGAGTAACTTCCGTCAGGATATGTACATTGCATTGACATAAAAACAACATGCTGGTCAAAATACTCCTGAACCCGTGTATGTGCTGAGCCGATACCAACTGATCATCGCCAAGAGGAGGTACTTCACATGGTTTGATGTTGGCCAAGTTCTGCGTCTGCTGAATCAAAACACTGTCATTCTCCAGCCTGCTGTACTGAGCTCCGTTGTGAGTGAAGGGTAACTGCTGCCGCTTGACCGCTCCGAATTTAGTCTCCAGCAGTTGACGCAAGAAATTCAATATTTGCTGTCTCGATTCTGATAAGAGATCGTCCACATGTATTGATAGACACGCCGCCAACTTGTCCGTCATGGATATGAGCAAGCTCTCTGAAACTCCACATTCTTGTGCTCTATGAGGGTGTCGCCGTCGAAGTATATCTATGTCCTTCACTGTCCAGTACACAAAATTGTCGTCCCACAGGCTGATACGTGCTTCAAGATGGGAAACCAGAAATAACGTGAGAGCGATCTGCCACAAGTGAGGTGCATCCACCAGTCCGTACATAGGCTTGAGCAGTTCCAACAAGAACAGACCATAATCCACTGGCCGTACCACCACAGAGCTGCCCTTGATGTCCGCGAGGTGTCGCCACACGTTGGCCGGAGGATTGAGGTAGACCTTCCTGACCGTGGTACACGATAACTTTAGCTCCTTCGAGCGCTTCCTCAACTCATCGAACGATAGGCCCTGAAGAAATGCCGTGGATATGTCCCAGCTCTCAAGCTCTGTCAAGTAGTGACACTGCGCCATGCTGACCACCAGCTTCTGACTGATCCTTGATGCCGTACTGGAGTGTCTCTGTATCTGGTGTTTCTGGGAGTCCAAGAAGCCGCGTCCACATAATCTGGATTTTACTTCCCATTTCTGAGTCTTCGGGTTGAACTTCCACTTGCGAACCCAAACCGCGTCGATGATATTCTTGGAGTCCAGGTTCTTGACCGCCGCGCATGCGAACACCGTATGAGTGCAAAACGCCGTGAGTTCGTGCCGATCCGCAGCCTCGACCAGATCCCAATTCTCGTAGATCTCCTGCTCCGTCAGGTTGCCGTCCGCTTGAGATGCATAGATCACCGCTTCGCCCGTGTACAAGTCGAACAAGAAACACTGGTTCTCCTTCCAGGGTCCGGCGATAACCCATGCTGCCTGTGATCGTTTCCAAGGAAGGTTACCTGAGGGTGCATCGTCCGTCTGCCTGATCTGGTCCGTGAAGAAGTTTGCCTGACGTTGCTGTTCCAATACCATAGTCATAGAATCCGCCATGTATGCTTCTCTAACGTCGTTCAGATACTCCTCATCGTCCATTGTCATAAACATACAGCTGGTTGAGGTGTTCCGTCTGGTGAAGATGTCCTCGTCCTTTCCAACATAGTGTGAACTCTCTGGCATATCAACTCGAACGGGGTACTCGATGGAAACGGGTTCTGCTGAAGGCAGTCCGTTGAGTTGTTCCCAATCTGCGGCTGAGAGTCCAAGAAGTAATGAATCATTCGCATTCTCCGAGGTATCAGCTGGTACTTCCACCAGAGGTCCGCCTTCTGCACTTTGTTCTCCGTCTGCGTCAACAATAGGTGTTACGTTCTCTTCCATGACCTTGCTAAGTTCCCGAGAGATGTCCAGGTCGCTTTCCGTCGGTCGTGCCGGCGGAGATTCTCCAGCGTAAGGTCGTTGAGCAGGTTGCTCCATCGACGTTGACATTCCTGGATCTGCTTCGTGATCTCGTTTTGAGGCTGGTTCGCGTCCAGCACTCGGTCCATCTCGAGAACCTGCATAAGGTCGGTACGCCGGCTGTACGATCGCGTCCTGTCCGGGAACTCGGTCACCTCGATCTCGCTTCTGCACAGGCTTGCGTTCGATGTTCGGCTCTCTGGATGTCGTAGGTGTTCTTGAGCAAGTCGTGCTTGACGAGGGTCTCGCAATGTCTGTGAGAGGCACTGCCGTGCTAGAGGAAGGTGTTGACATCTGATGATCTTGACTTGACACTTCCATGGCAGATTTGTCCTGAGTGTCTGCGGGACCCATCGATGCCGTCTGATCAGGTTCCTGCCGAGAGGAGTCCGCCATTATTTCGCTCAAAGGCCTTGACATGTCGAAGTTCTCCGAGGAAATTAGAGAGTCATCAGGAACCAATTGTCCGGCTGTCGCTTGAAGAGGAACTGGTCGAGCAGGTTGAGATACTTGATGAGCTGGATGAGGTACTTGGTGAACAGGCTGAGGTACTTGATGAACAGGCTGAGGTACTTGATGTCCGGATGAGCTCGAGGAGGAATGTACGAGTTCTTTGCCATGTCGTTCATCATTCATCACCTTGCTGAGCTCACCAGAGAGGTCGACTCTGTCGGACTTGGGAGAAGCCTGTATCATTTCCTTGTCATGTCCTTCTTCGCTCATCACCCTGCTAAGCTCGCCCGAGAGATCCATCTTGCTTGTGTCCATGCGTCGAGACGTGTTCTGAATAACCGGTACCGTGGAGGAAGGCTGAGCTTCTGCCGATATCGGAACGAGCTCCGATCTGTCACGTACTGTCCGTCTCGATACATCAGGTGAATATTCCAGCGAGCTCATGTCCCAGCTGTCGTCGTCCGGCAGGAGGCTGACCATGTCCTTGAGGTCCTGATCGATATCTCTCATGCTCTCCGGCATGGTTTCCACGTTGCCCAGGTCGTCGATGTTGGGAATCTCGTAGTCGTCCAAGAAGGGGTTTACCGGTAGCTCGGTTCGGTACATGAGGAAGAATGAGGTGTCCTCCCAACTTCCTTTTGAGTAGTCTGCTACGTTAAGACCCTTGTTTGGACGAACTTCCTGTGCCAGGTAATCAGCATGATTTGCTCGCGACCACGTCACCAAAAGTCCATGAAATATCCGATCGAGAGCTGGTATCCGTTTGACTGATGTCCCGTACAAGAGTCCATCTACGCTCTTCAAGTGGAAGACCTTCTTGTATATCTGCATGCACAGCGCCCAGTGGTTCACCAGTCGTAGCTGAGCTGCTGGAGGAAAACACGCCATCACATTTCCGTTGAAGGTCTTTCCGAGCCGCGTATACTGTCCGTAAGCTGTGCCGTCCACGAGGTCCATCAGCTTGAAGAGGTTCTCAGTGTCCTCATTCTTCTGCAGGAGGTACACGAAATTGTTGCCATTGCCGAGAGGAATTTTTTCCAACTTCACCGTGTGCCGTCGGATGTGTCGTGTTGGCAGGATGTAGGGAATACCGTTCCACACGACAATGCCCGTGCCCTGAGTGAGCTTCACGAGTTCAGCTGGTCCTCGCCAGCCGGATTGATCCTTCCTTTCTGGCACTCGGTAGATGTCCACTGGCTCGCCTGGTTGAAGTCGCTGTCCAGGAGGTGTCTGCTGCTGCCGGGTGCGATTGCATCGTGCAATGCGCTCTTCAACGAGACTCTTGGCCATTGCGATCTTCGCTTGCATTCTCAGTCTCAGAGCCGATTCGAATTGGCCCGGACAGCTGTCGACCGCCGAAGTAACTGAATCCAGAGTAGTCGCCTCCATGTCGTAGAAGTCTCGCGGAGTAAATCCAAGCACTACCTGGTTCGCAGACTGGCCGCCGTACGACACAAGTGAGTTCGAGACCATGGCTGATTCATGGATAATGTCGGCGTTAGTGACCTGCAATCCCTGAACCTGGCAACTCTTCTTCAACTTGAGCGAGCAGAGTCTGACAAGTGAGATCCAGCGCTCCACCAAGCCCGTCAACGTGTGGTCATCCGTTCCAGCAAAGCTGCGCCTGATGTTGAATTTGTCACACATCCTCGAGCACAGTTCTGATACAAGGCCACCTTCCTGATCGAGGATAAGTCGTACTGGGGGTCCGAAGTACCGTATCCAACAGCGTCGTACTGACGTAAGAATTTCTTCTGCAGTACGATCCTTGAGGAAGTCCGCGATCTTATACTTGCTGAACTCATCGATGATCAGGATGAAGCACTCGTCCCACTGGAAGAACAGGTCTATCTGTACTCTCTGGTTGAAATGAACTGCCATGGAGATGCCAACCTGAGGCTTGGTGGCTGGAGGTAGAAAGTCTCGACAATCTCTACAGGCCTTCGGAACGACAGGCAAGATCTTGGCCACGAAAGGTATCCAACAATCTCCTTGCTTGAGCAGTATCGCCATATCTGGAACCGAGGCATGCCAGAAACGTATATGAAGTCCAAGAAGACATCGAACACATTATTTTCTGTCCTTGTTCTCTGCCGCTTCCTTCAGCTTCTTGAGGAGGTTCGCCAGGTTGAAGCTGGGCTTCACATCATACCATTCCTTCTTGGCTATCTTCGGCTTCTCCTTCAGCGTGCCTGGGTCGTCCTCGGAAGCTGGCTTTTCTGGCTCGTTCTTCTTGGCCGGTTCTTCTGGTGCCAGTGCTGGCGACTGATCTCCCGAAGCATCGGGAGCCCGTTCCAATGGCACGTCTTGTAGAGGTTGTACTGCTGGTTCGTCTTCGTCAGGAGGTTCCTCGGGTGCTGCCACCAGAGGATCATCTTCTGAATCCTCAGCTGGGCAGCCGGTGCAGCTGCCGCAGGAGCTGGAGCAGCGACTGGAGCCGGTGCGCCACGAGGAACCGATCCTGCCATCTTGCATTGCCCTTGAATCCGCGTGTGAGGTTCCGTAGTCTTCGTGCCGTGCTTGCAGCGGGGGCACGTCCAGCAACTTGTGTAGTTGCAGCCGTCGGCGTTCTCCGTCAGAAACTCTCCATGATAGTATCCGGTCTTGGCCTGGCCGATGATCTTCATGATGTCCTTGCCGATGGCGTCGCACAACTGCTTGGGGTAGATTGCAGCTCGAGCCGTCCGGCGTACTCCATCCGTATGGCCAACGAGCTGCCCGTGAGGAACCTTGCATTTGCAGTGTCGAGTAGTTCCGCGGAGGCCGAAGGTACTCAAGTATCGTGTCCTTTTCCGTATTGGTTCGCCGTTCTCATTGACTGCACCGAACGGACAATGATCTCCAACGTAGGGCCGTAGTCCCAGTCCTGAAAGACATCGCAGAGAAGACTTGTCCCAAATCTCGCTGGTGGCTGGGTTCTCGACTGCTGCATGTTCACCACGCTTCTGTCCATCTTGTATATCCGAGACACACCAGCTGAGAGTGGGGTCCTGAGCTTCGCGTTCTGCTTCTCGTTTTTCCGCATTTCCTTTTGAGGCCTGGGACCAAGGTGTACATGCAGGAGCCCACCTGGTGATCTTGATGCCCACCGTGTGCCTGATCGCCGTGAGGATGTTCTGATGCTCCGAGTCTGCCAAGTTCCAACCGTACCGGTAGTCCACAGGAAACGCCATCTGTAGACCGAGCCGCATGCACCTGAGGGAAAGACGACCACTTCCAGACATACGTTCCTGCACGTGTACTTTGAAGCCTTTCATATGATCCATCCACAACGTCGCGTTGCGAGGGGTGATGACAGGCAACATCGTCTGCTGGTAGAATTCCTCAGGCCACGCCCGGTACTTTCGTTCGAGCTCAGAAACATCATCACGATCACAAGAGGTAGGCCACATATTCGCTCCTGTCCACATGTCGCCAGTAAACGAGGCCCACTGCTTGTAGAACATCTGGCTGATCTGCATCGGTGTAGTCCGTGTTGTTATTGATGTTGAGCGTTGAGGTCGACCTGCGTTCCGTTCTGCTGCATCTGCTTGATATTCTCTATGTCTCATTCTATTTTCTGAAGTGTTGCTGTTGAAGGCCGACTTGTTCTCGCTCGTCTGCGTTGCGATCTCGCATTTGTCACTCGAAGTCTGAGGCGAATCCTTTCGAGGCGTTTGTCCATGATCCGGCAATAACGCGGGCGACGTGAACCCTGCAACGCTCGAGGAACACGCTGCAGGGATTTCTGACCTGTGACAAACCAATGGTTTTCCTGAGGGCTCCGAGTGATCCACATGCAACGCCGTACTGACATTCGACTTCGCAGTCTGGTTAACGTCAAAGATGAACTCCATGTAGTCCTTCACTGCTTGCCGTAGAGCTGAAGCTTCTTCTCCGGTGTTGGCTGTAGGGCCGTCGATCGGCAAGAGGTAGTGGCCCGAGTCCGTGTACAGAATACGTAAGAAAGAAGTTGGTGCCACCTTCTTGCCCATTGATCCGATGTGATTGATGACCAACACCCCGTCCTTGTTGGGAAGAACATTCGTGCACATGGATGCCACATGCTCAATCATCGACTCGTTCGGAAGAAGGCAAGGGCACCGCGAACCTGAACCGCCGAGAAGATCCATCGTGAATGTGCTCCTGGGTAGCGCCTTCAGGTTCAGGGGAATCGTGCCGAGCCCAAGCGATGGACTGGCCTTGCCGTCAATACCAGACAACTTGGAGTGCGAGTTCTTCAGCGTGATGTCTTGGCCCTTGGGCCATAACAAGTGATCGCATATCTCACGTACCGTGTCCGTTCCGCCGAGTCCTTTGGAAGCACCTGGATCAACAATCAAACCCAGACGCTGCCTGCCACGCACACTCGTCATGAGAATCATTTCTTCGTCGCGGCCCCTGGTTGTCGGATAGCAAGCGTTGTTGATCGCGAAGAGGTTCGTGTGAGTAGGCCAAAGATCGGACAATGAACCTTTGTTCGCTCCTGCATATGAAACATCACCATCTGCGTCCAGTCGTCCAGGAGTGTCTGGTTTGTTTCGAACGGGCCGATCTGGTAAACCATAGATCGAGGAGGAGGCCGAGCTTCTTGTCGCTTGAGGTCTGTCGGGTACTCCGCGGTTGTTCTGACTCTCGACACCCTTGACCAGGTCGCTGAAACTCGTTTTGCGTCCTGGAGGCTGGTCCTCTTCTCCTCGCGCCGTTGTCGTGGGTGACGCCCAGGTTCCTGGAGGTGGAGAAGGTGCCGCCGAGGAAATCACGCTCCACGAGCTGTCCGAGGGACTGTCTTCTGAAATGGAGTCAAAGCCGGTCGACCAAGGAGGTGT